TATCATAGATATAAAGTATAAGGTACTTTAAGAAAACAGATAATACACACAATTTGATTCTTGAATTCACAAAGCTCAATTTCAAAATATTTATTTAAGTGCATACTCATTAAACTCTCATAAACAAATTAAATTAGCGAATATAATATAGTTAGAACGTATTTCGTCAGTGGAAAGGAAAAAATGCTAAAGCGCAATAATATGAGCGCTTTCATTTCAAATCTACCGACGATTAATTCATGTTGCGTTACTTTAGTGTTTCGCACAGATATAGATATACCTAGATAACGCGAATGCACCTACTTCGCGTGTCCCGATCCCGATAAATCATCGGAATGAGCTGCCGCTGCTTACAGTCCACGCGCGTCTGTTGTTGAATGCGGACGGCCGCGAAAACTAGAAAAATGCCTCAATGTGCGATAATTAATTGCAATAAGCCAAAAATTTCGAGCTCCCAAGGGCAAGGACATATTTCCTATCACGGGTAAATTATTTTAATATTATATTAAGTGTTAATTCATTTTAAAACATTTTTTTAAGTATTAATTGTGTTTTTAAAAAAAAAACTACATGTGACTTTGTCTCAAAATAAACTTAAACAGGATGAAATTAATGATACAAAAAAATTAATTATGTGTGACAACACTGGCGGCTCGAAAAATGCCCGCGCAGCAACGATGTATTATAATAAGCAATCAGTTTTAGAATTATACATTTTTATTTAAAATTCAATGAAAATATTATTTATTTAAACATTCCGTTTAATATCATTCGTCTGTATATCTCATTCATCTGTGTATCTCATTCGTCTGTCAGATAATCGATGCCATTTCTGTGATCGTAGCGGTGCGTTGGGGCAACGGCGGCATCGGCATCTTTGAATCGATTACGATTTCCCGTCACTAAATGTTGGCTGTGACGTCACAGTAGGTATTAAAAAGTCGGCACGCTTGGTTTTAATACAGATCGTGTTACTTGCGTTATCTATGTATATCTATATCTGTGGTGTTTCGTAATTTCACTACTTACGGACTTTGAAGTGTGTGAGGTTGTTTTACAATCTTTTATTGAAAATTAACTCTAGTCTTCTGTAGAAAATAATTACTGTTTTACACTTTAAATCCGCACAAAACCAAAACGCAACTCACGTCGCACCACACGCATGGTGCCTTTAATTTTGAAATAGCAAATTCTCAAAGCGTGCACGTTGCTTGAAAACTTTAGCAGTTACTAACGAAGCTGTGAATAGACCCTTTTGGCCCTCGTTAAATATTTCAACTAAATTTACACCTTAACGACCGCATACAAATTTTTAGTTTGAAACTATCCGTGTGGATGAAGAATGTAACGAATAGCCAAATTAGATGACTGGTGTTGGGGCGTCGGATGTTTTGTATTACAATCGATGCTGATTTGTCTAGAAGTGACTTTTAAAATGCATTAGATATTTTTGATTTTTGAAACAGGTAAAGGAAGGACTGAAATAAAACATAGGTAAGTACACCACCTGTAAGTACTACTAGATACTGAGACTCCATTGAGTCTTAAATACCTATAATAAATACTTACCTGGTGTTTGGTGGTGGTGCTTCAGAGCGAATCAAAGGAATCGAGCATCAAAGGATAAACCATTTATGGATGGTTTATCGATATGCAAATTCAGTGGAATTAAATAATGCTTCCTCATTCACAGATCTAAAGATCTCGAGAGCTCGTACTTACACCAGAGTTAGCGATCGTTTTCGGAGCAGAAGGCCTCAACTTTCTTTGCATGACCTATATTATTGTTTCACGAATCTCATAGACAAAAACGACCCTACCCATTCCAGCGGCGACAAACACGCAGCATCTTTGTCCGGGTATTCCCCGAGGTAATTCGGATGCAGAGCGCGATGAAGAAGTTTCGTGCACGGCGGGCATTGTGTCGGCCTTAATAGACGCCTCGAGGGCCGGCTCAACTAATCCGCCGTTAAGGATTTATGGTACGTTAATATGAACTGCTTGGCATTTCGTTGCATTGGGAGCGTTATCTGTACCATTTGAGAGATTGCAAATGTTGGTCAAAAATCACTCACTTCACTATAATGAGAAATGGCGTTTCTGCACATAACCAAAGAGCGAAGTTTAGTGGCTTGATCCGGAGGTCTTGGACTAGATTCCTAGTCTGACTGGAGCAGTGCAAGCTCAAGGCCATTAGGTAATATGACCGTTTTAATACCGGAAAATAGGCCATAAGTTTAGGTACTACAACAGACACGGGTTCTTAATTTTATCAGCAAAGAGCAAAGACATCAGCTTGTCAGACGACAAGCATTGACGTTAATATCACCACTATTTAACCCTAAGTACCCTACGTCAATATTAATAAAAAACTGAGTACAATCTACAGAATTACTACCACAACATATTTTTGTTCAAAAATAACTCCTAGCACAACTACATTAGATGCCACAGTTTCGCTTGATAATCCGCTATGCATTACTCGTACATTCTAAAAAAGCTCTTTTCATTAACATCACATTGTACCCTACAACAATGTTGCTGTCTCCTCCATTTTAATGTGCCAATTTTATAAAAAACAGTGCCATTCGTTTGGCCCTATCCAGGGGGCCATTTAACGATTTCTGGGGCCATTTAACTAAAGGGTGAAGGGTTGGGTTAACTAATCAACTGTAAACGGCTAATGTTTATATTCGGCCCAATAAAGGCTAGATGAGATCAGCTAGATTACTTTTTCGTGTAGGAGATTAAATATGACAGACCCTTATGCAAAATATACAGGGTGGTGCAATTTATGGCGCAATTTTTCAACGAGTGCCGCTGCCCTCATGAATGTTTGGGACTGACAAATTGCAAAATGATGGTTTTATGAATTTAAAAAGGCTTATTTTTAAGGATTTAATAATATTTTTGAATCTCTACTTTGTGATATCACTGTAACAATGACTATAACACACAAAACTAAATGACGGTTCTTTACAAAGAAACATTTATGCGACTCAGGGGGTCTTATCGCCAAGAAACAACTTCTTCCAAACAACCCCGGGAGAGCACAACTGTTATTCTTTGACGGTTTATTTTCAAAGCAACATTATACCAGCTATTTCACCTCGCAGTTCAAAATCCAGACATCTAAATCAAGTTAAAAACGCGCCTACAACGTTTGTCTAGCTCGCTACAGGAATGAAAATGCAGCAATTACTTAAACGCAACTGCAAGCCATTCGAGCTGCATGCAAATATAAAGAACGCCAAGGGCGCGCCGGATTAAAATTATAACGAGTGAAAGAATGTGTATGCAAACTCGCTGAAAGGGGACTTTTCATGTTGTTTACTTGTTATTTCAAAGATTCAATGAAGGACTTTACTTGAAAATAAGTAGATGAAAGGTGAAGTAAACAGGTACTCAAGTAACGACCACATTTCACGTAGCCCAGTACAACTAACTAGTCACCTGCTCAATAGACCGACAATATAGACCATATTTCGGAAAATATTGTGTAGGACTGACGACATGCTCAGTGGACTGACCAACTATAGAAAAGTGAAAAGTCGATTCGGGCGGGCAACATTAGGGACGTTAATTGATAAGCAAGGACATCAGATCTCTGATAAAAAAAAGTTTTTTTATTATTTAGATAGCGTTATAGCTAATCTTCTGTTGCACAATAAATTATTTAATACTCTAGTTAGATAATCATGATACTGCATATCAACAACAAGTCTGCACTCTCCAAACCTTCCAGACTTAAACAACCTTTACACCACGTAGGTACTTACACCCACTTAAATTGTTTTTCCGCGTTTTCCAAACGAACAATAAATTCTAGCATTAGCCGAAAGAAAGTGCACGCGACTAATGTACCGTGGGAGGGAAACTTTTAAATTAGTGCCGAATTGTGGGTATATCGCGCGGAAAATTGACGCGGGAAAAATGCCTCGTTAAGTATGGCTCCCGTCTTTGTTTGGGAGTGTTGGGAAAACAAACGTTGGCAGAATATAGTAATGTATAATTATACAAACGAGCATGTTATGTTACGCGAGTTAACGCTGGAAGTACATGAACTAACGGAAAATGCCATCTTACGGCTACATTTTGGACTGCAGTCCTTCTGGGTTCTGTAAACATAGATTTGTCTACCTGGTTACTGTTGACTGTTTATGAATATCAGCCTCATAAGTAACCCATTCATTTACAGTTAGTTAAAAACTTTATAGAACGACCTGAATTATCTATTTAAATTACCTAGTTTAATATTATTTGAATATCTGTGAATCCGAAACTGGATAATCTAATCAACACAGTTTTATCAAAACCAGGAGAGCTTTTTGATCCTTATAAAAAACGCCCTAAAATTATCGCAAACGTAAACAGACGAATGATCGATTCAAATATTGGTAAAGAAACGCCCTAAAGTTGAAATAAAATATAAACACATTAATACTAATACAATAATCATGGCCAAACATTGTTTTACCTTCGTAATACCACCGACCCTTCTTAACTGTCCGTAGTAAAAAATAATTGTTTCCGTTCGTTCCCCTTTTGGGATCGAATTATTTGCCCAATAACATTTAATTGCTCACATCAATATGTTTTAACACGCAAGTTTTTGACAGCTCCATTACTATGCGATTGTAAAACTGTTGGGTAAACAATATGTGTAATCTCGTTTCATTTTATTATGGAACAGTAAACAACATTAAATATAAAACTGATCATACATCTCATAAGCCGCGGACAAGTTTTGTTTCATTCTTAATCAAAGCTGCCGTGTGTTTAAAAAATGAAATAAATACTTAAGTAAGTATTAAAAGATATCATCATAATTATTTTAGCCGCAAGATGTCCACTGCTGAACATATGCCTCTCCCAATGATTTCCACATGGCCTGGTTGGTAGCGGCCTGCATACAGCGCCTTCCTGCTACCTTTGAGATCATCGGTCCACCTTGTGGGTGGTAATAAAAGACTGCATTCACATAATCAAAACCACTATAATCAACTAAAAATCAAACCGCTTGTATAAAACCTAGCTTCTTATAAAATATCAGCTCCCACCTCTTCAGCTTGGCTATAGGAGCATCACTGTCCACCTTGCTGCGTCTTTTGTACTTCCTGAAGAACTCTCCGTCAATTTTGACCCTTTGGTCGCAGTTGTCCCGCGACCCAGCCACCTCTCCTGGTTCACTCCTTGCCACTGTCGAGTTCTGGCGAGGATAAAACAGCCACCTCTTGGACCCGAGTCCGTCACTCTTCAAAAGCTCCTGAATCCGGTCCTGGCGCTTCTTCGTAGCCAGGTATTTCGTCGTGCTCTTTTTGTGTTTGCTGGCTGCAAGAAGTTTCCCAAATTAATCGCTGACAATAGGGGGTTAACTGCTCGTTTTAAACTTTTAGAGCCCTCAAAAGTTTAAATTAGGCTTGAATGCAAGGTAAAAGAGTTAAGCGGGTCTTAGCGCCGGTCAGCGACTCCTAGAAAATTGTAGCACCAACAATTTTAAGTTTTAAAATGTTCGTTGAACGCGAAACATAGGTACACTTCGCGTGAACAGCAAAAGTGTAGTTACCTAGAATATTGGAGTGGATATTTTGACTGGCTAATAAGTTCGTGGATAAAATAAGTCAAATAGGTATTCCAAATTACACATCTGAGTATTCAAAAATAATAACAGAACTGGATCAGATGTCAGATAATAATTAATCAGCTGTGTGATATTAGTTTATTTAAATAACATGATTACGTTATTTTAAGTATACCTAGTTGAAAGTTTATTCAGGCTAATTAACTAGGAACTAATTAAGGAAACTAAAAACTCAGTGAACCGACGATCTACTGCGATCGTGTGAAGCATCTGTATCGTTGCCTTTGTCCAGCAGTGGACGTCATTTACTTATAACGTAGTGATGAAAAATGNATTGAATTAAAATTAAAAGACTTTACCTTTAATGATTATTGCATAATTTTTATAGGTGAAAATGATTTTATGGCTACAGGAGACTATGCAAAAATTATTAAAAATATAAGAACTCAATTATTAAAGGTGCAACATACGAATATTATTCTTTGTTTGCCAAATTATAAGTATAATTATAACGTAAATCTTTTTAACAAAAGAGTAGAAATATTTAACAATATGCTATACCTGGATAATGAATCATATCAATATTCTTTTATACTTGACAGCAATAAGAATTTAAAATATTCGTATGAGACTTTTAGATCTGATGGCTATGTAAACTTTAAAGGTATTGGTATAATTTTTAATGACATACGTAAATTAATTATTGACATTCATGACTATTATATTGACTTTGATATACCATTGGACAACTCTAATTTATTATTTAATGACAACCTTGATTTATTTCGATAATAATGAAGATAATTGTAAAGTCAAAGTCAAAGTCAAAATTTCTTTATTTGTTTGGACTAATAAATAGTTCTTACATCATTTTGCTCTTAAGGAGCCTCTACATGTCTCATAATCTTTTTACCCTACCAGCGCTTCGAGACCAACATTTGGCAAGTGCTGAGAAGAAGCGCCGCAACAAACTCAGTCACCACTGTCTGCCGGTTAACATAAATAAATAGAAATAGTAGTAGTAGGTACAATAATATAAATAAATAGAAATAGTAGTGTAATGATTCGAATACATTTTACATTGTACATCAAAATATTGCTGGATTTCTAAATAAACGAGACTTATTACAGATATGGATTGACAACTTTTATAATAATAAATATAACTTTTGACGCTATTTGTTTGAGTGAAACGTTTATTAAAAAGGGTGAGGAAAGAAATGCCATTCTAAGAAATTTCAATTTAGTTAGTAGTTATTCTAGGTTGAAACAACGACGAGGGGGTGTTTGCATTCTTTTAAAACAGGGCATTCCTTACAAAGAGCTTAGTATCACTCACGATTTGGCAGTAGAATTAGAATTCGAATGTTGTGGCATTGAATTATTGGAGTTAAATTGCATTATAGTTTGTCTTTACCGTGTGCCCAACAGCGACCTTAGGTCATTCTTCTTAAAATTGAATGAACTTCTATATAAGATTCATAAAAAGAGGAATATATCCGACAAAAAAATTGTTATTCTAGGAGATTTTAATATAGATATCTTACAGAAAACAAAACATACTATTGAGTTTCAGCATATAGTACAGGCCTATAATTTGAAACTACATATTGATTTACCTACAAGAATAAATAAATGTATAGATAATATTATAAGTAACATACCTGAAGCTAAAGGCCAAGTTCATAACTTAGGCATATCTGACCACACTGCTCAATCTTTGTGTTTTCCAGTTAGTACAAAGAAAATTAAACAAGAAACATATTTTAAAATTTCAAGAGATTTTGGCTTTGATTATTTAATTAAATTTAAAGAATGTTTATCATCGTTATCTTGGTGCTCTGTTTATTTGACGGAAGATATAAATATGGCATATAACGAATTCTTAGAAATTGTTAAAATGTTTTTTGAACTTTGTTTTCCCAAAATTAGAATTAAAGTTAGCTTGAAAAGAAAATGTGCTGGTTGGATCACAAAAGGCCTAAAAAAATCATGCAGAACAAATAGACGACTACGCTACTGCTATTATCACCAAAAAAGTAAAACATATAGAGAAGCTTTCCTTAAATATAATAAAGTATTGAAAAAGTGCATTAATAAGTCGCAACAAACACACAATAAAAAAATTCTTGATAATTCAAAAAATAAATGCAAGGCTGCGTGGAATATCATTAAGATGAAAGATGAAATGATTTCCTCAAATAACAACATTGACGAAATAAGACACATGGATAAAATTATAAACGACCCTAAAGATATAGCAAACTTGTTTAATGAAGCTTTTATAGATACATGTACCAAATCATTATTAGACTCAAACAAATTCTGTAACCACTGTAAGATGAAAAATACTATAAGTGACAGTATGTTTCTGGCTCCCTACAGTGAAAACGAGGTTTTCAATCTAATAAAAACTTTGAATAGCACCTCTTCAGTTGGAGTAGATGAAATAAATACAAACATAATAAAATTTTGTGCATACGAATTAACTCCAATTCTAACTCATCTTATAAATCTTTCTTTTGAAAAGGGTGAATTTCCAAACTTATTGAAATTATCAGTAGTCAAACCTCTATACAAAAAAGGAGAGAAAACCGAAGTAGGCAACTACCGCCCTATCACTTTGATACCAATCTTTGGAAAAATATTTGAGAAAGCAATGCATAAAAGAGTCTTATCTTTTCTTGACAAACATAGTGTTATAAATAAGCATCAATATGGGTTTCTTAAAGATAAATCAACTACCTTAGCTGCCTTTAACTTAGTTAAAACTGTTACTGAGTCTATTGACAAAGGAGATCATGTAGCGGTTATCTTATTTGACATGACTAAAGCTTTTGATTACGTATGTCATAGCAGATTGATTAGCAAGTGCGAGGCTTCTGGAATAAGAGGCTGCGCACTTCAGTGGCTAACTAGCTATTTAAAAAACCGTCAGCAATATGTTGAAATAGCCAAAATAGACAGCAAATCCAAGGACCTGACATATTTTAGATCGCAATTAAAGAAAAATTCATACGGTGTACCCCAAGGAAGCATATTGGGACCACTTTTATTCTTATTGTACATTAACGATTTACCAAGTGTCACGGAACATAAATGTTTTTTATTTGCTGATGACATTTCTATTGCTTTATCTTGTAAAGACCAATTGACATATGAATATGACATTAACAATACAGTGGACAACGTTGCAAAATGGCTTAAATGTAATAATTTGTATATTAATGTATCCAAGACCAAACTTATTCAATTTCACAATGTAAAAATGACGACTCCAAAATTAAATATTTATTGTAATAATGAAAAAATTTGTAAATCTGATAGTGCTGTATTTTTAGGCTTAACGCTGGATCCCAATTGTTCATGGAAATTACATGTTGAACAGCTTTGTAATAAGATTAATCGATTTGTGTATGTTCTTTATAAAATGCGAAAAACAAATGATTTAAAACTAGCACTTCTTGCATATCATGGTTATGTTGTATCTGTAATACGCTATGGACTTGTAATATGGGGAAACTGTTGTGAGATTGAAACATTATTTAAAATACAGAAAAAATGTATCCGTGCAATGTGCAACTTAGAGCCACTGGACACCTGTAAGCCATGGTTCATCAAATTAAATCTTCTTACTTTGCCATGCTTGTACATACTTGAAATGGGATTATTTGTAAAAAAATACCCATATTTCTTTACAAAATATAATGATAGCAAATTATACAGCTGCAGGCACCCTAATAGACTAAAATATCCAGCCATTAGGACTGAATTGTACAGAAAAAATTGTTTCATAATGGCAATCAAAATATACAATAAGATACCTGTTAACATTTCTNTCCGGTATCCGGTATCCGGCCAATCAACTATCCGTTTCATCTCTACTATTTATACTAAATTTATCAAATTTCCAAACATTGAGAGCATTTTACAAATACTCAAGAAATAACCGTAAATGTTTAGCTTATTTCTTTTGAGCGTTCGAACCCAGTCTCGTTATGTACTTATTTACTTAAAGATTTTCTTTATTGGGTATACTTATTAGGATTAAAATTGTAAAATATTTCATCAGCTTATTTTTTTTTACTAACTTTGTGGGTCTTTGTTTTGTTGAAAAATTTCCGTAACATTATTATTACAGTACATTGATTTCAGAGTTTAGTTTGCAGTATTGTTTGACATCAGGCAACCCCCAGTCAATATCAAATGCGAGGCTGCTGTTGAAAAAAAACGTAAACTGGAGGCAAATATTAAATTGAGTCTGGCGACAAGTGGCCCTTCAGCCGTCTCAGCCTTTGATGCAGATCTAACAATACGTAAAATTGGCGCGCTCCCAGAGGCGCGGCCGCGGCTGGACAAAGGCGAAAGATTGAATTTTTTGTCAGATTACCCTCCATCTGTGCCAGCCGGTTATTGATTACGCGGACAAGCGGAATACTGTTTCTTCGATAGCCTATTTAGATATTATGAAACTATGGATGGTTTATGTTACTACATCGGTGATTTATGAGATATACGTTTAGGTTCAACAAAGTTTTGATAGGCGCTTGAATCTGTATTATACTTATTCTTCTTCGTATTGTATCTTCTTACAAGAANACATTTCTGACTTACCTATAAATCTATTTAAAAACAGATTGAAAAATTGGCTAGCAGAGAAATGCTTTTATTCTGTTACGGAATTTTTAAATTATAAATGAATTGTAAACTTAAAAAATGACATGTATTGAATTTATTTGGATCATTTGAC